TTATTATTATTGATAATAATGATTACAAATCGTGCATCCAATGAAAAATTACACCACCCTCCCCCCGCGCAGCTTCCCCACCAAAGAAATAACTGAATAACTGAAGAAAAAAAAACCAGGGAAAGAAAAAGGAAGAAAAGCAAGGACATTGTAAAAAATAACAATCTTGTGTGAAATACTTTGCTATTTTGAGCTGAATAACTGCCCGGGAGAGCGCTTTAAACCTCTATCATCGTGCAACATAAACCTTTTTCTAAGGCATCCCGCAAGGATCAAAGAAAAGGCGCATGCTTATCCTCTGTCTTGAAACTGATCCACTCGTGTGGGCCTTCTCCCCTTTAATTAGCTTAATCGGACCATCTTTTCGTCTGTAGATTCAAAAGGAATAATAAAACAAAATCTTAATGGAAGATATCGTTTAAAAATCGGCTAATACCCATTCGCCTTCTAATCACGATGTCTTTTTGTCGTGAAAATGCGTGTAATCATTTCCCCTGTTAAGAAATTTAATATGAGCATCCAAATGCTAGCATCAAAAGGTCTAGGTATTAGAATTTATTTTTAAAAAAACCACACACGAAAAAAAAAAAACCCACACAACCCCCCCCCCAAAAAAAAACAACAACAACAAAAAAAACAAAAAAAAACTACTTCCATTTGTAATGGTTTTAAAATGCAAAATTGTGTCAACCCTCGATTCGTAATTTATTTCCATTCACTTCAGCATTAATGGTGCATTTTGTTCGAATGAATCTGCTATTGCAAACGGATACTATTACGAGTACGTACTCGTAGTTCCTATCAAAAGGAAGATTGAGAAGAACTAGTTGGATGTTTGTTTTTTTTAGTTTAGTTTTAGTAAAGGTTTAACGGCGCTCGCAACTGTATAAGGTCATATAAGATTAGAGGTGTTACAAGAGAATAACAAACATAAAAAGAAGGGGAGATAAGGACAATTAGATGTTTGAAAGGAAAGAAAGAGCAAACCACACCAGAGCACCCGCCAACCACCCACAGGGTGAAGGTACGTACACGTAATTCCTCGACATCTTGGTCATTATAGTGCAGACTCACAAGACGATCATTTGTTTGTTTAAGTAAAGAGAGACACACTGGAACAATAATGGATCATTTTGAGCTGGAAAAAGTAAGACACAGATACAGAGACAGACAGTAAAAACAAAGAGAAATTAAAGAAGTAGGTCCTACCAGTCGCACCCTCCAATCTCCCTCACATGAAATGATGTCTACGGGAATATGTTAATATTTCTAATCATGTTAGACACAATTTAGATAATTTAGGAGGCGGATTACTTCCGTTATGTTTTTTCAGAGAAAACCCAGAAAGAGAGGGATAGTACGAGCATACATCCCATTTAGAAGACGGAAATACATTCTGGTCGGTGGCCTAGTGGTTAGGCTCTCGGACTTGCAACCGTAAGGTCGTAGGTTCGAATCCCGTCGGGGGGCCGACATTGTGTCCTTGGGAAAGGCACTTTACACGAATTTTCCTCACTTCACCCAGGTGGGAATGGGTACCCGGCTATAGACAGCGAAAGATCTTGTC